GTCACAAAATAATCAGATTCAAAGTTAAATGAAGAAATAATTATTAAGCTTAAACTTATATCAGAAAAACACGTAAACTTGCAAAAATTATCGACTCTTCGAAAGAGCGTGACATTTCACACGATCCTCGCAAGTCCGCAATCGAGATTATATTGATTAACCAGCGAAAAATAAGTCGTTTAAAAGCCATGGCACGTCTTCTTATTTCACCCAATCTTTTTAAAATGACCATATGTTTACCTGACGAAAGATCGCTCTTGCCTTGCTACCAGCCATAACAATTTTTTGTCCCTTCAACTCTTATTCGCCGGCTTCCTGCTGCTATCGACTATTTATCGACTTGTAGTTTCATCAGCTTGGCTCCAGTCCTCTCTCGGGTTCTCCAGCCTCCAAAGCATCAGGGGAAGCATTCCTTCCGCCAAGATGGCGGCAAGGTTAGTTTTTTTGAAAATTGTTTTGCTGTGTACATTTGCAACTCTGACGAGGACACAAAGTAACAGAACTGTCTTTTCACCATCTTCATCCTCAGGTAACTCACACGAAAGCGTTTTGGATCGGTGTTTTCAAAATGCGCGAGTTTGTGATGCGTGATTTCTGTTCCTGCATGAGCATGTCAACTCACAGACAAACATATGCATTTGTCTTGTTATGTACGTGTGGAATTTACAGAAACTGGTCGTTTAGCCAATGGTCATTTCGCAAACGTCTTCTGATCAGTTTGCAAACGTGTAGAAGTCAGTTCACAAACGTCTAGCAGTCACTTCGCAAACGTTTTTTACATGTCAACCTTTGTTTTAACAAAACTGTTCAGAATACTATAATTATTGGGTGTGAAATTTCACATTATAAACATTTACATGACAACTATACGATGCAGAATACTACATTACATGTTGTATGCGTAAATTATTGGGTGTGAAATCTCACAGCTGATTTCATGCTTAAGAATATTTCATAATCAATGGACAGTGGATGACTCACCACACTAACTACAAGTTGATTGGATACAAACAGACCGCCATTTTGAAGTTGCTTTATTTAAACCTAGTCCTTTAGGATGATTGTTCGTTCTACTCGTGCACACGTATGTGGTTTGGCATCAGCTTTGTTTCATACAGCTCACCTCATAGAAAGCTTGCGCGTGCTATTGTCATATTAATTAGAGTTAGTTGTCACCTGTTGAGTGGAAAACGACAAATCAGTGGTGCCATATCTAATTAACTACCAGTCACATTGCTGTTATTTTGATCTGCTGCCACTGGGCACTACAGTATAAAAAGGGCTGCGAATTCTGTTCATTTCATTCAATGTACAGATGTACCTTCTAAGGACAGTCATTCGACAACTAGTCACTCCGTGTCACTCTGATTGCCCACATGTCCCCGCATGTAATAAGGTATATTGTAATTTAAATGAATCGGTTAAGTTAATAGTAGTTGATGCAGCTTGTTGTGTTTTTGCTCAGAATTTGAAATTGCCTGTATTGTGGGGGCTGTCACTCGAACAGCCCACACTTCCCTGCGTGTAATCCGTTTTAATTTTAAGCAATAAATATGTTTGTGTATTACAGCAACTTTGTTTAAACATTCCTTTAACAGCTTAGACTTGCCCACAAGTCGAGCTCAAAATGTCCTCGATGGCGAAACGCGAGTGGGAGATATTTTACCCTTTTCTGTGGTCAAAACAAGTGATAGGGTGGGAGGTACTACTGGAACTGGAAATGGGAAGTGAAGGACATTGAGACTTTCAATGTACAACACTTAACTACCATGTTAATATTTCACGCCATGGTGGCGGCGTTTTTAACTATTCTCGGTCATGGTAGTTTTTGACCTTCCTTCAAAGAGGCTTCTTTGTACCCCATCTTTGCTGTGATTCAACTTCAACAACAACAAAAACAAGATTTTGCTCAGATAATTCAAAAGTGTTCACTGTGCTTGTTAAAAGTTATCTCTAATTTAGCCCTTGGCTTTGAATGCAGTAAAAGTGAGACTTAAATCACTGGTTGAATAATAGGTTGTACATGTGATTTGACTGGCAATGGATGTGATGTGAACTGCTGTTGTGATCCTGATTGTACCAGTGCAGATCAACAGGCATTTACAGACTGCAAGGATACAGATACAAAGTAGGTTTCATTTCCAGATCTTTAGAGTTCTTGTTTTGTGAGACATTGTACTTAATAATTACATTGTACCTGTACCATGTACGTATGTATGTATACTTAGATAAAGTTGTATGGAGAAGAGAAATATTGTTTTATTTAGGTCCATCAAGGTTTTGCCTTTTTTGAGTCCAGCTAGAGGTAGTTTATTATGACATATCACAATTGCATGTTGCTGAAAGCCAGAAATTTTCTTTCCTTTTTCAGTATTACCTTTAGGTTAAACCACTCCAAATCTATGTTTCAGCTAGTTTTATTGGCCTTCCTCAAGAAAATTAAGAAAAAAAGTCAATGTAGTCTACTGGCATTCTTGTTCAGACCGTTGGTGACAGCCCTGGAAAAGGAAAAAAAGCATTTTGGGCAAGTGGGCTTGGGAACAAAGTTCTTATGGGTGCTGTTGCAGTTTTATATGTACATGTATGCACTTAGACACACCTTACAGCTGTATGTTTGGTTTGATCGAGTTCAAATCTCCATGTGAGGTTTTTTTGTACCTTGTTCACTTTTGGCTTTACCTTGCAGCCGTGATGACCGTGTTTGCCTCTCCAATGCAGCCCTCTTCACCTTCAGACAAAACACACAATTTAAAACAGAAACTACTGGTTCTGGCCTCTTCTGTATCATCAGGGATAACTGTAAGTTGTGAAATATTTCCTCAATTAAGTGGCTCTTTCATTACAGTTGACTCCTGATAACCTGACCCTCGCTAACTCAAACCTCATGCTAACTTGAACCAAAGTTGATTTCCCCCTGGATTTCCTTCATACATTTACTGTAATTTTACCCTCGGTAACTAGAACACTTGATAACTTGAAGTAATTTTTGTTTGTCTTCATGCATTTTCTATATAATTTTACCCTTGATGATTTGAACCATGTTTTAAGCACATGATAAGTTGGAAAAAAAACAGTGTACTGAATTCTAAATCATTGAATTTATTTTGTAAACAACAGTCTTAATTCTTTGTTACTTTTAGGTCAACCTAGTTCAAATTCAGTGTGGCAATCCCTGTATATTTATAGTGGAGCTCCACCCATGCGTGGGAGCAGAGCCCCATAGCTAAGTAAATTTGGTTATCTATTCATCCGAGAAAATCTGCACCACAGGCTCACCAACATAAAATAACTCAATCATCAGTTATGGAAACCCAAATACAGCTCAAGGGTTTATTTGGAAGGAAATCGCATGAACTCGTGTTACAAGTTTTTGCACTTGTGTTACAGAAGAGCTGCACTCCTTTCTCAGCCAATCAGAATTGAGTAATTTTTTCGTGTATATTATTACATTGTTAATACCAGGACATCTGAGGGGCAACTTTGCCTTTTACACCTGGGCCCAGTTGTTCGAAGGCCGATTAGCGCTTAACTCGGAGTTAAATTTAACCCGGGTTTCTTATTCTTGTGTTCTAAAGCATTTTCTCCGATAATTTTCTCTGTTATTTTTAGAGCTTCCAGTCATCATCTTGTAGACAAAAAAGAAATGAAACTGAAATGCTTTTTAAGCTTTCAAATCTGAATTCAAATCTCGCACTAACCCTGGGTTGTCTTAACCCAGCTTTCAACAACTCGGCCCTGGCGTTTATTTGGACTTGCAGCATCAATTTAATTGAGAAAGTAAATGTTTAGTATACAACGTACTGTTCGGTATTTAATACATGACCCCTGCACTACATACCATCATGGGCATGTATTTCGACTAAACCACCTTGTTATCTACTTTGCAAGCTCACTTGTTATAGCATTGATGTGTGTCTTCTTTGCTCAAGCAAGGAGAACCTCTATAAGTATATAGGAAAGGAAGACATTATTCACTTACTACATACTTTGCATCCTTGTAAACAAATTGCATCAGTGTCCTGTGTACAACAATTTAATTAATAAACATTTAGTTTAAGGCTGAATTAATTGGATTAAGGGAGAAAACATCGAGTGTCACTTTCATGTAATGAATTTACATGTAGGTATTGTACATTGAAAGTAATATAATATTATGGTTTTCTTCAAGCACAAATGAGAACATGCCCATTTTTTCTAGTTAGCTTGTTACTGATTCATTTACAGTGTTAAGTTGAAGTATTCATTCTCGTACCTGAGCGGGTACATTGTTGCTCTCTAGGTGTCAGGGTTTTCAATCCTTTTATGCTTTGATAAATTGACGCAAGATAACCAATCACACTAGGTGATAAAACTTAAATTTTGTGTTTCACTCTGACACAGATGGAGGACCATAGATTCTTATGAAACTAACCCTTCTTTTAATTTGTAATCTATCAGATGAATCTCGTAACTTCTATAATGATGTTCAGACTGCCAGTACAAGTGAGGAATTTTCTAATCTCAAAAGTCAGTCAGTATCAGCTGTGTATGATTATCGCAGTGAAGGCACAGGCCAGACAACTGCCGCTTCATCATATAAGGTGATTACACTTACATGTACATGTATTACTCAGACACATATTCAAATTTTAGCACCAAACAAAGGGGTGTGGCTTATAAAAGGGCTACAAGTAATTGATTGGGCTACTAATTCTATCAACAGTCTACTTCAGTGTTAAAGACACGAAAGGTGATATCTAAAATTATTTATTGTTGGATGGAGTTTTTGTTATATTCTGAATAATCAAGGTTGAGGTGATCAAATGTTTCTCTTAACTTTAATAAATCCTCTGGATATCACAAAAAATGAATTATAATCAAATTGTTTTAGTTTATACAAAACTATTGCAAAATGCATTGTCGTTCAGAAACACAGTTTATTACATTTGTCCGTTTCCAAATAGATTAAAAAGAATGGAAAAGTGGAGATTGCTCTTAAAATATCATGCATTGCATAAATGTCACCTACAAACATACACTGGCTCTGATAGCCACTGAACAAGAAAAGCAGATAGTGGGTACAGTATGCAAATTAATGTATAGTGATGTAAGATACTAGCCTTCACAAACATATTGTTACATTTTCTGTACTTTACATTTATTTAGCAACATTTTGGTAGATAATGTCTGTATTAATGAAACAGAATAGCAAATGCACTTGTAACAGTAACCTTTCATGAACAGATTGTCTCAGGAAACTTGTACATGTAAAAAAATTGTATACCTGTAACAGAAAGCTAACGTATTACATTTACATTAGATCACTGGTACAGTATACAATGTACTTGTACTTGTATCATCTTGTGGTAGATACCAATACACTATACAAGTACAACTGTATCCATTTGAAGCTTGTTTTGCAATTCCACTAAGTAATTCTAAAAATGCTTTTTATTTTCGTTTGACTAGGCCTGTCACTAAGTTTTAAAGTTGTTGTGTGTATGCAAAAATTAGGCAAGAAATTGAACAGCTGCTAAGTTCTTTATGCTCTATTTTCCTTTTGCGTCTTTTCAAATTAGTAGCTGGTTGTGCTCTTGGGTAAAACCCAGCCCCTGGCACTTACATGTAGTGAAAGCCCTTCCTTCATCCCCTTTGGACTACAGTAACTATGTCTTGTTGGTGAACGTCTTTTCATTAATTTCAGGTGGGTGATCCAGTGCTTCTTTTGTTTAACAATGGTGCAAGAGGATTCCTATCTTTTCCCAAGCCACTGTTTGGAAGTGAATGTAATGATAACAATCCCGCAGGTGTGTACAGAGTTATTCCTTTTGTTGTAAACACCATTTCTCATTAATAATAACTACATGTATAATCAGATATTGAGGAATGCAGTGCTTTAAAATACAGTTGTATATTGTACCAGCGGAGCTTGAAAAAAAATAAAATAGAATAAATTCTAGCACTTCCTCTGTGTAAGTAGCTCTCACATTTTGCATGCCTGGGGCAACCACTTTCTTTTTTTAGTTAACCCTTTAAACCCTAAGATCAAAATTTGAATTCCCATTTGTTGCCCCTATTCATTTCCTACAGAAGTATAGTGGCAAGAAGTTGATAAAATATCAATCAAATTCATCTTGTGTGACCATGTCTGTAATTGTCATGGCCACTCTGTTTTACAGAGCATAGATATTACAAGGAGAAATTTGATGCTGATCACTATTAGGGCTTTTAATGATTTAAATGGAGCATGACTTGCCTGGACCCTCTCCCGTCGAGCAAGTAACCTTTTAAAGTTACTTGCCCAGCAAGAAAATTTTTCAAGCCCTGACCAGCAGGTGGTGAAGATTGATCTTTCATTATCACTGACAGGAGTGTAAACCTTTTCATAGGGCTCTCAACTGCTGTTTAATAGACCTATTCACCATTTTTGTCAACCCTTGACATAGACAAGTACAGGAAAATCTGTTGGCATCACTGAAAAGAGCCTCTTAAAATTAGTAAAATCGCCAAGTTTGAAAGTGATTTGTTGAAAGCTAATAAAGATACAGCTCCTCGAAGTTGCAAAATTTTACAGACATTTGTACATGTATGGCTGATTTATTTGTCAGGATATCGCAAGGACAATAGCACAGAATGTACTAGAACCATTCCAGAGCTTTCCTCAGCTTGTGAGACACTTCCAACAATCAGTGCTAGAAGCTATTATGAAGGATTCACGGTGGCAAAGGTACAGTTACTGAACACGTGTGTGACTGACTTTAGAAGGAAAGAATTATTTTAGCTTTCTAGCACACTGGTCCGTATCATACAGCTGGAAGGTTGTTTTTCAGTTTGATGGTTTTGTGGTTCATTCATGGGCTGCCAATAAGAGCAAAGCTGTGATTGGAGGAGTCACTGTACCATAAATGTGGCACAAGAAACTTCGAGAAAATAGAAGCTGAAAACTGATGGTCACAATATGGGGAAAGGAATGTGGTTTGACTCTCGCAGCTGACTAAAAAAGTTAAATTTAGTTGTTTATGTGTAGTGGTAGTGCAGTGATACATGTGAATACATTTCTTAAAAACTTCACTGAGTTTAATTGGCCAATAGCCCTTTTTCCGATACGGCGGCCACATTGAGTTAATTCGATTTAAGGAGTAGTATAGGATGCCCAGGGGGCATGAGCACATTATTTTCGTTTGTATTTTTGAGCGCTTTTCGGGACATTTTTTCTTAAAGTTTTCTTAGAATAAGATTGTAATGGGAAGAAATATGTCATAATGGTCGCCTTTTTCCTGAGAAACATACAGTAAAAGACCATATTTCTAATACTAAACTAGAAAAAGGGGATCATCATTACATCAACACATGGCAATGGAATTAATTCAATATGGCCACTGTATTGGTACAAAGGTCTATTGCTTTTTTATGTTATTGTGTTTGTTCATTTAGGTCAGAATTATGTGTCGCAAACTTGTGTAGCTAGTCTATAAAATCCTAAATTAGGAAGTTATATATGCTGTAATAATGTTATAATGAATATATGGAACATTGTTAAGTTCTATTAAGCTCAGTATTATCATTTGTTCTTATTCATACAGAATCCTGGAGTTCTAAACAATAATTCAACCAATAATTCAACCAGTAATTCAAGTTCCTCTGCCAGCACTCCTGATTTTGTACCTGTGGTACTCAAACAGCCATTAAAGTGTACAACATACCTTGGTATACCTCGTGACTGTCCATTCAGTGTGCCTCCCTACCCCACCTACAATGCAGATAATAAGACCTGCAATAATGTGGCGTTGGAGGTGAGGAGAATGTCACAACAAATTTTAATTCACTTTACAAGTGTTCATATTATGATTCATTTTCTTCTTTTGTTCTGGCTTTGTAATCATGATTAATGGTGAATAATAATATACACTATGCCACTGTGGTCCTGATTTTCTGGAAATACTTTATGAAAAGAGATCAGAACTGTTTCCTGATTCCAGGACCAGGGGCCAGTTTGTTGTGATGTTGGCTTTTATGCAAATCGCCTCAAATTTCTTTCTTATCACGGAAAGTAAGTAGGAACAAACAGTACTACAGTTGTAGATATAATATTACATACAATTACAGTGGAACCCCGCCTTACAGCCACCTCAGAAATAAGGTCACCTTGTTAGTAGGGCCAAGCTGTTTTGGCAACATGGCAAAACAGTCATACATTTTCTTATATAAAAACCCTTGTTAATAAGGTCACCCGTTAATATGGCCAATTTTTTTTTGCCCATTGGTTATGGTATTTACGGGAACCACTGTATTGGCTCTTTGACCTTCTTAATTTAAGTTCAATAATATTTGCATGTAAGACCACATGAACACTAACGTGCTCATGGCAGGTGGGGTATACATGTTATGAGGCTTAAGTGCAAAGAAAGTAGTGTCTTATAGCCCGGGGCTAGTGGATTTTACTATCAGGCTAGTGAATTCTGTTCTTAACTTAAATGCTCAACTAGCCAGTGAAGTTTTTTGGGGCAGAATTCAAATTACATAATAACTGTTATCAAATGCTGCTCATCAAAAAAAGTTTTCAGGCTGATAAAAATAACTGTTGGGCTAGTACACTAGCGACAGTTTACACTGTACTTGAATGGCAAGCTGTAAAATTGATTTAAATTATTTAAACCCTGAGGTTGCAGCTATGTCTATATTTGTTAATATACTGTCTAGTGGCTTTTTACAGTCAGTTGTTGGCTTGCCTCTACTAACAGGTGTCTGTGTTGTTTTGAAGGTGTTGTACACAGTGCAGTATTCGAATAGTTCCACTGATATTGTGGCTGTCATGGTAGAGTTTGTACTGGGGAGTGTCACATCAGAAATGGGACTGGATCTGAGGCAGAAAGTGTCCATCAGTTTTTCAAAGGTATGAATTGTTGATAATAATAGTGTTCATTGTGACTGGTCAATGACAGATCCAGACCTTCGGATAAGGAAGGGGGGGGGGGGGTCATGCACACCCTGAGATAAGGAGGGGGGACCAGGGTCCCTGGGCCCCTCCCCTGGATCTGCCACTGTTGGTATAGTACAGTCAAACCTGTATGAAGTGGACACTCTTTGGGGAACGGCTTCTGCTTACTTGCCACTTAATACAGGTTTAACAAATCAAGGAGTTAATTTAGAAACCAAGGAAATATCAGTCGTCTGTAATATTAAATTCCACAGAGTTTTAATACCTTTCAGGAGTAGTGTTAGCCAAGAGTTTCTCAACATAAGGCTGCAAAAGTGCTATTTTACTCACAGCAAATAACACTACTAAAACAACTAAAAAAACAGAACTTAAGTCGAATGCTGTATGGTAAAAATCTTAGCAATACTGGCCACTCTTTGGGGAACGGCTTCTGGTTACTTGCCACTTAATACAGGTTTAACAAACCAAGGAGTTAATTTAGAAAATGAAGGTGGTGACAAAGCAAAAATTTATATCCATCACACAACAAATTGACCTCAAAGGGTTTCTACCTCTCAATGCCATTCACATTATAATTATCTATTGCACTAGTGTGGTACATCTGTTCATCTAATAGAGGTTAAGACAAAAGCATCAACTCTAAAATTCAAAAAGGTGGTTGATTCAGCTTATCAAACACAAACCAAAAATGTTGTTTTGTTACCTTGTTCATAGGCTGGTAGTACAGACACTACATTTCAGCGATCAGGGAACCCCGGCTATATCATTGGTCAACCTCTTGTTGCAGGGAAACTTGTCACAGTCGACAACAAGTATCTTTTTGTAAGGTCAATATAAGTGAGCATAATGTGCCACCTTTAAGGTGGCTCCATACAGTTTTTCAGAGTCATAAACAAAAATTTGAAAAAATTGCCACCACAGTTGTACTAGATAAAGATGAAAATTTGTTATGATCATGGTTGCAATGTCATCGAAGTTGTCATAGTAACAATATGACACCATTGCCTATTTTACTTTCAGTAGTATTTCTTGACACTGGAAACTCTTGATCCAAAATTGTTCACGGGAGTTTGACCCTGAAAAACTGTATTGAGCCACCTTAACTGTGTTTTCATGTAAGGCACTCACTGGCCTCAAAATTGTGAGCAGGTCAATTGGTGCTGTATTGGCTACATATGTATATGTTCTTTCTCCCCCACTCCCTGTTTTCACCTCTGTTATCCATTTACCTTGTGGTGGATTGGCCTCACTCCTGAAGGGGCACAGTTTCCCAAGCTAAGTACACATGTTGTTGGATTTTTCTTGACTTTGTTGTTAGAGATGCAATCTTTCTCAGTAGTGATCGTAATACTTGGCTTACCATCATTAACCCATCAGCGAGTGGAGCCTGCAATAACTCCACTCTTCGCACCTCAGTAACATTTGGAGTTGACATGCGCACTGGTTGCTCTATCAGGTAAGAAATAATATCATCTGGAAGCCTGATAATCCGTTGAGAATTGTGTGAAGCAATAGTAATGGATGTCTTACTGGGACCTCAACAGTACAAAAAACCTGGTGGCACTTTTGCAACTTGCATTGATGACTTTTACAGTGTTAAAAATTGCCCATATTTCCTACATGGAAACGTCCACTGACAGTTAATAATAATTACATGTACATGCTTTGGAAATTCTAATTGTCAAGGGGGTTATACAAGGCTAAAAGATAAATCATGTTTATATATGGGAGAGATCTTTTTTTGCTGAGTGACACAGGCAGCTCAGAAGACTCCCAACAGGAGTCTAAGTTTTCATGAGCTGAACCTATTTCGAATTAAGGCCGACCCAAATTATTTAGACTGGGTGAATTGATTCAGACGCCGTTCTTTCATTGCAGCTGAACTAAGTTCAAAAGGCCAAAAATGCTCATTTCAGTCAAACTGCTTATATATCTGCATATATGCTGTATGTAAAGATAGAAATGTAATGGTGAATTTTTGCCCTGGTGAATATATGAGAAAGATGTGATTGCTAAAACAGTCGCATGTCAAAATCGAGAATGTCTACAGTTTGGTTAATATAGCTCACTGTTTATAAGAAGTAAAAACATGATTTGTCTTTATCAGCCTATATTCACTAAGGGGAAAGTTTGGTAAAGGTGTGAACACTTTATTGAGTTCACCTTTGGTACATTAATTTATAGTCTGTTCATATTTTAAAATCGATTGGTCATATTAATTAATTATATGTTCTATAAGTTATATAGTTAGTAGTATGTTGTCAGACTAGTCAGTAAGTTATAGATGCAGGCCTCCATTTAAACCACCATAGAAGGAATATACCAATTTTTAGAATTCATACCTGCCTCCAAGGTTTGGGGGATTAAGACAAAAGAAATCACATGTTAGTTCAGGGATGAAAAATACATTTCTTTTGTTTTATTCCCCCAAGGCATGGAACCAATTATGAATTTTGATGTCTGTCAGACCTGCTCATAGAAATAAATAAATAGGTTAATAGATATGAATAAATATGGTTTCAGCTGACTTTTTTAATGTGGAAATGAGGCTCGTTTTATTGATAGTATATTATATGTTTTACTCTCTGCTTGTTAACCAAGAGTGAGTTAATTACAGGGAAATGTCGGACCGAGACCTTGATGCATTGACTGAGTGATAGCAAGATAAATACATCAAGGCCGAGGTCTGAGTATCCCTGTAATGGCGGAACAGACGAGGTTAAGAAGTTATTTATTATATGGCCTTTTCATTATGGACCTGAGCCTGTGATCAATTAAAACCAATAACTGGTCAGTAGATAACTTAAAAAAAACACGCCACCTCAATGAATTGTACACTTAAGCATGCGTTACAGTCAGGTGACACTGGTCAGCTGATGCCCTCTTTGACAGCTGTTAACTGACCATAACATGGATATCCTTTATCAAGTTAAACAGATTGTATATGCGTTGGACACTTTGCCAGTAATGCCCGGTCATTACAAGAAAACAGCCAATCAGAGTGCATGTACTATTGTAGCCATAGAACAATCGGCCATAATATTTCTGACATGATTTAATAACTTTAGCAGTTTTAAGCTGCTAAATTAATTAAATTATGTTAGTAATATTATACTGGTCCTCTTGATGCATCATAAAAAGACAACAGGTGTTGTAATCACTGAAAGCATCTCGGTAATTAACAGTTCAAGCTGTTTGTTATTTCAAGTGTGGTTTTTTTTTCTTTCAAAGAAAGGCCCTCCTGAACTTATTTTCTTTTGCCTGACCAAAGTAATAATAATATTTCTGACATAATTTAATAACTTTAACAGTTTTAAGCTGTTAAACTAATTAAATTATGTTAGTCATATTATGCTGGTCCTCTTGCTGCCTCATGAGAAGGCAACAGGTGTTGTAATCACTGTAAGCATCTCGTTAATTAACAGTTCAAACTGTTTTTTAATTCAAGTGTAGTTTTTTTCTTTTGAAGAAAGGCTATGCTGAACTTATTTACTTTCGCCTGACCAAGGCAATAATAATATTACTGACATGATTTAATAATTTTAACAGTTTTAAGCTAATAAAATTATTAAATTATGTTAGTAATTTTATACTGGTCCTCTTGATACCTATCCTGAACTTATTTTCTTTCGCCTCACCAAAGTTTCAGTACCAAGCTTTGTTTATAAGCAAAATTCTTTTCATTCCTTTTCAATTCCGAGAGGTTACTTCAATAGACTAAATTTCACTGTAAGGCTGCGTGCAAACGGACGCAACATCGTTGACCAACAACTCCCAGCATTGTTGGATGTTACATGTTGCGTCCCTTTGCACACCCTGTTGCATGTTGTTGCGCAAAGTTTGAAACCGGTAAAACTTTTAGCCCCGTGCAAACGGACGCAACAACTCCCAACATTGTTGGGACATGTGGGGCCCGTTTGCACGTAGCCTAAGAGTGCTAATGTGAGTAATTTACTTGTTCATCATCATTAGAATGCGGTCGGCGATGATGATGACCGCGTCTTTTGAAGCTCTGTAGTTTTGTGTCAATCTTGTTAATGGGCCATAATTAGTTGTACTATACTGTGCGCTTCTCCATTCATAATTTCTTTGCTAACCTTATGTACATGTAGTTTTTTGTCTAAACACCTTGTATTAATATTGTACCACTGATGCACTCTATTTTTTTTATAGAATGGAGGAAAAAGAAATAAAAGTACAAATAGAAATGTTTAACCAGGATGATAACCGGCTAATGTTAGGTCCATATTGTAATTTTGTATGAGTGTTTTCAGTGTACACATGTTCTTCTTTTTTATCAAGTTTCCCGCAGACCTTGGACGGATCGCAGTGTAAAAAGCTCCAAGAGATAGTGCTTAACATAATGTCAGGTGATCTACCCACTTACGTGGCATCCTTTGGTAACTCCGATGTAAACAGTGTGGGTGACTGGGTCAAAATTCTTAATTCAAAACCAGCAAATGAGGTAAATAAATACCGGGTATTTGATGCTGAGTGTTATTTTCNTATGAGTGTTTTCAGTGTACAAATGTGCTTCTTTTTTATCAAGTTTCCCACAGACCTTGGACAGATCGCAGTGTAAAAAGCTCCAAGAGATAGTGCTTAACATAATGTCAGGTGATCTACCCACTTACGTGGCATCCTTTGGTAACTCCGATGTAAACAGTGTGGGTGACTGGGTCAAAATTCTTAATTCAAAACCAGCAAATGAGGTAAATAAATACCGGGTATTTGATGCTGAGTGTTATTTTCTCCTGAGTGAATGAGTAAACGACTTTTATAAGGTAACTTTACGACCGAAATATTTTTCACCTTACAAGATATATTTTTGAACCGAGGCAGATTTAGACCAGTCGAAAGGTCGTGGGCTCGATTCCCGGAGGCGGACCAATGCTTAGGGTCTTCAATTAACTGAGAAATAAAGGCACTGCCTTTGTCCTGCAAAACGAAAATTAACTGAGAAATGAAGGCAGTAAATAAAGGCACTGCCTTTGCCCTGCAAAACGGCTACACCTTCGCGTAGCTCAGATCGATAGAGATAGGATTCCCGTCTGCATTACGAGACGTGATAAAACTTACTTTCTTGCTATGTACAATTGAAACTGCTATTTACATTGAAACTTAAATAATGTTTTTGGTTTTTTAAATTATTTGATTGATTTTGCTTCGAATACTCGGTCTTGAGTTTTTGGTCATTTTGTTTGAAATTTAGGTTGATTTTAATAATTTCTTTCTTTGATAGGCTGAAGAAGGAAATGGCGGCTGTCGGAATATGATACTTGGACTTCACATTGAAGTTTTGTTCGCTAATTTTGGTTTCCTGGCTAACCCTCAACCAAAGGTAATGAACGCTTTTTTTCCTTGGTCTTTTTGTTTCTTGGTGTATATCATTTTCTTTTGTGCTGTGTTTGGTTTCTGCTTGGTTAATCTTCCTTTTGGTTTCTTAATGTAAGTTTGAATCGGTCGTCTTGTTTCCATCCACCAAACTGACATTTTCCTCTCAGTGGCTCTCACAAGACATTTTACTTTTCTTACATGAAATTTCTCTGTCTCTTGAAATTTCTGTTCATGAAAGTCTAAGTCACTTCAATTTTTAAGGGAAAAAAGTTCAGGATGGCACGAGTAGGATTCGATCTCGGAGCATCGTCTCTCAGCAGTGCATCACTTTAACCCCTACAGCACCGAGGATATGCTGACAATAAATGGTTTGATTTGAATGTATATAGCAACAACCCTAACCCTAACCCTTACTTTGCGTACGAATCATTAATCTGTCAATGTCATTTTGGCGGATGGAAATAAGTGTTGACCGTTTGAATCGGAGTGTAACTTTATGCCATTATACAACACAATAGACGGGCCCATTCCTGAGGCCTAAAGTTAGATGGATGTAAAGGACTATTTGATACAGTTGAACTTCTTTACAAACGGCCACCTTGGGGACAGAAGAAAGTGACCGGTGTAGAGAGGTTTTAAATAAGAGTCAATGTATGATTTTTTTGTCCGCCGGGACGAAAAACAGTGGCCGTTGTAGAGCGTTGGCCGTTAGCGGAGGTTCGACTAAACAAGGGGAGCAAGGGTGGCGCAGTGGTGAGAGCACTCGCCTCCCACCAATGTAGCCCGGGTTCAACTCCCGGCGTCGACGCCATATGTGGGTTGAGTTTGTTGTTCGTTCTCTCTCTTGCTCTGAGAGGTTTTTCTCCGAGTACTCCGGTTTTCCCCTCTCCTCAAAAACCAACATTTCCAAATTCCAATTCGACCAGGAATCAGGTAGACGAAGAACCACTATGTGGATGTGCTACCTGCAAATCGTTATTTATTTGTTTACTTATTTTTACTTATAATCATCATCGTCATCGTCGTCATATTCATCATCATCTTACGGCCCTTTATTACTTCTTTCAGACAAACCCGTTCGCTGTGCTGCCATATACTTACCTTATCCTTTTTCTGTTGTGCTATTCTTGCTAATGTAAAGGGTATCTTTGCTTTACGTGATTTTCAGATTGTCGGAGTCATGTTTAAGTATGACGATCCTAAAGATGTTCCATACCAGGTAAGTGAAAGTAGCCAAATTTTAATTCACCTAGTACTGGAAACGTTGCAGTTTCCGCAATCACTTATGGACTCTTTATTCGACCTGTAACAAGTTACGCATAAGCTACCCGTTAAGATTCTACGCGTTTCTGTCATGCACTACGCTAATTTCACGACCAATAAAGTACTTGGAATCCAGTCTTCAAATTATCGATAGACATGAGAAGTCCTTTGAAAAGCAGCATCTCCATGATGAATTTTCAGGGAGAACTGCTTTACGCAACGGGAACCGGCTGTGATTCTAGATCTGAGGCTGGCTTGTGTTTCAGTCGCGGTAATCCCTTTAAAAGCCACGTATTGTGCGTGTAGCTCTCCTAGAGACGCATATTAGGAGACAGTTCCCACAGTTTAATGTGACCTTTACGTTGCATTTCAGTGTGGAGGCGTTCAGTGCCAACCGGGAAGCTCCTCTGTGGAGCAAAAGGTTGAAGTCATCACATCCGTGGGATTTGTAGACGTATCTGACAAACCTCAAGCTCAGATAAAACCTCGACCAACATTTGAGGCCAAAGCGTCGTCGGATTTTTTCTTTCCTTTTCTTTAGCATCATTTTTCGTGGCCACAACATCGTACTTTTATTCGATTCGTTAACACGTGAACGTGCCTTATTTGGACATGGCTCTCAAGGTTACTGATTGCACTAGCCTAGAGGCCCTCCTCACAGCTCAGATCACGCTTGGCTGGGCGCATTTCCTGTTTCCCTGATACTCTTCGGCACAGTCCCCTTCAAGTTGATCCCTAGCGGTGGAATATTTGTAGAATCTGTCTTCAAGAGATCTGGAAACGAGAGGTGTTTAGTGGATGCAGGCTCCGTCACAGGTTCCTGTCTTCCGATCAGTGACGAGCAGAGGAACCTTGTGACCCTTTAACTTCCCAAGGCAAGATCAGCTTCTAAGTGCTAAGTAAGTGTCACGTGAGTTGGATAGGCGTCGTTCCTTTTAAGCCAAGTACAGGACAACACGGCCTCAAAGTGTGGCTTAAAGAACGTTGCTTTTCGTGAACTACAAAGAACATCGCAAAACCATTGAACTGAAAAATTAGAAGTAGTTAATAGTTGTATTTTAACAAAAGAATAAGTGACTCTGAAAAAGAAGTTTGTGATTTTTCAAAGTAGGGCAAGTGTGTTGTAGAGAACCATAAAACCTCTGAACTTAACCCCTTTTCATGTAGGTAGTGGGATGTACTGAATTGGACTTGTTTCTTAACGGAGGTTTTTGCTTGTTATTTACTATTGTAAGTATTTTTGTAAATGTTTGTGTAACAAGAACTGTACATAGGTGAGACGTACTTGTAAATAAAGGTGTTCAAGGAAAGCTTTCAAAAAAGCCAACAGTTTTTTTTTCTAATTTTGTTTAGTGGGTTAGTTGGATATAACCTCCCAGTACTGCCTCGGTTACGGCTGTCTAAAAAAGGATTCGTACAAAGTATGTACTCGTCCACGCTGGTAGCAGAGCGTCTTTTTTTTTCGCTTGTTCGATTTTGGCGTACTCTAGAAAGACTCTCATGAAGCGAGTAATACCCTTGCTCGCATGCCCAGTATGTTGCTAGGATATAGTTTCGAACCCAGACCATTCTCATCCCCAGCACCACTCGGCTTAAATTGTAAGACCACGCAACCAAGAAATTAAAACAGGCGTTCCTAATAGATTCAGACGCCGAACTTTTCATGTACTTAACTCAATGTAATAGGTTCGGCTCATTAAAAGTTCGGCGTCTGAACTCGGCCTAACCTAGTACCTACTGGTTTCTAGTCCAGATGCTCTCACCACTAAGCTACAGGTTAGCGGAGGTTAATGTGACAAACATCCTGCATACTGCTAGGACTAGAATGTTAATAGGTGCTTATGTGCAATGCTAGAAATGTGATGGTGAATATATAAGAAAGATGTGATGGCTAAAACGGTCGCATGTCAAAATCGAGAATGTCTACAGTTTGGTTAACATAGCTCACTGTTTATAATAAGTAAGAACATGATTTATCTTTACCAGCCTAAATTCATTATTAGGGGGAGGTTTGTAAAGGTGTGGACACTTCACTGAGTTCACCTGTGGTACATTTATAGTCTGTTCATATTTTCAAATTGATTTAGTCATATTAATTAATTATGTGTCCCATTAGTAAGTCATATAGTCAGTAGTATGTTGTCAGACTAGTCAATAAGTTATACATGCAGGTCTCTATTTAAAACACCATAGAAGGAATATACCAATTTTCAGAATTCATTTCTGCCTCCGAGGCTTGGGGGATTAAAACAAAAGAAATCACATTTTAGTTCAGGGATGAAAAATACATTTCTTTTTGGTCAGCGGATAACTTTAAAAAATGACATCACCTCGATGAATTGTACTCTTGAGCAGGCGTTACAGTCAGGTGACACTGGTCAGCGGATTCCCTTTTTGACATTTGTCAATTGACCATAACTTGGATATCCACTATCAAGTTAAACAGATTGTCTATGCCTAGTAATGCCCGGTCATTACAAGAAAACAGCCTGTCAGAGTGCGCGTACTATTGTAGCCATAGAACAATTGGCCATAATATTTCTGACATGATTTAATAACTTTAGCAGTTTTAAGCTGCTAAACTAATTAAATTATGTTAGTTATATTATACTGGTCCTCTTGAGGCCTCATATGAAGACAACAGGTGTTGTAATCACTGAAAGCATCTCGTCAAGTAACAGTTCAAGCTGTTTTTTATTTCAAGTGTGGTTTTTTTCTCTCAAAGAAAAGCTCTCCTGAACTTATTTTCTTTCGCCTGACTAAAGTGATAATAATATTTCTGACATAATTTAATAACTTTAACAGTTTTAAGCTGTTAGGCTAATTAAATTATGTGAGTAACATTATGCTGGTCCTCTTGCTGCCTCATGAGAAGACAACAGGTGTTGTAATCACTGAAGTCATCTCGTTAATTAACAGTTCACAGTGTTCGTTATTTCAAGTGTAGTTTTTTTCTTTCAAAGAAAGGCTATCCTGAACTTATTTTCTTTCGCCTGACCAAAGTAATAATAATATTTCTGACATGATTTAATTACTTTAACAGTTTTAAGCTGATAAAATTATTAAGTTATGTTAGTAATATTATACTAGTCCTCCTGATACCTATCCTGAACTTATTTTCTTTCGCCTGACCAAAGTTTCAGTACCAAGCTTTGTTTGTAAGCAAAATTCTTTTCATTCCTTTGCGATTCCCAGATGTTACTTCAACGGACTAAATTTCACTTTAAGAGTACTAATGTAATTAATTTACATGTTCATCGTCATCATTATCAGAATGCGGTCAGCGCATTCTAATGATGATGACCGCGTCTTTTGAAGCTCAGTAGTTTTGTGTCAATCTTGTTAATGGGCCATAATTAGTTTTACTATACTGTGCCCTTCTCGATTCTTAATTTCTTTGCTAACCTTATGTACATGTAGTTTTTTGTCTAAACATCTTGTATGTTAAATATTGTACAACTGATGTATTATTTTTCAAACAAAGTGCAGGACAACATGGCCTCAAAGTTTGGCTTAATGTTCGTTCCTTTTGGTGAAATCGAAAGAGCATTGCAAAACCATTGAACTGGAAGATTAGAAGTAGTTAATAGTTGTATTGTAACAAAAGAAAAAGTGACTATGGCAACGAAGTGTGTGATTTTTTGTAGTAAGACAAAAGTGTTGTAGAGAACCATCAAGACTCTTTGAACTTGACCCGTTTTTATGTAGGTATTTGCATCTACTGAATTGGACTTGTTTCTCAACGGAGGTTTTTACTCCATTTTGGCGTACTCGAGAAAGCGAATAATACCCTTGTTGTGCATGCCCAGTATGTTGCTAGGATATAGTTTCGAACCTAGACCATACCATTCTCATCCCCAGAGCCACTCGCCTTAAATTGTAAGATCACGTGACCAAGAAACGACGGACCCTGGGGACGAGAATGGACCCATACCTAATAGCCGTGCGCTTCCTACAGCAGGCTCAGTTGTGACAAACGGATCGTCAATGAACGGATGCTGGCACTCGAAAAAAACAAACAGTTTGACGAGAGAAAGCAAGACTGACCAGTGTAGAAGTTCGGGTTCAACCACCACAGAGCCTCCTTTTTTCCTTCTCACTGTACAGCTCAGAAGGAGGCTCTGCTCGCAGAATGGTACTCATTTTTTGATGGAATGCTCTAAAGGAACCGACTAAGTATTGTATTATCGTATGAATATTAAGTTTGCTAGACTCGCCGAGACAAAACTTACTGTGATTTAATATTCTTAGTGTTATTACCCGTGCTTTCCTGCTCTTTAATTTTGAATTTCTAAATTAGACATCGGACGTAAGAGATGTGAAATGCACTTTATTTGAGAATTTTTTTTTTCTGCACTGAAAGTTAGACGGATATCTCCCAGTATATGTTGGTGTCTTGAGATTTACGAAATTCATTGAAAGTAGATTGACATTTTTTTGGCAACTCTGAGACAAGACTGAAAGCCGAACCTAATAAAAAGCGTACTTAGGAAAGATGTGTATTGTCTCTGGAAGTAAACTCTTGCGACAGCGTGCTAAGGTCTCCATCTATTGATGTCTGTTGAAGTGGATTATTTAAGTCTGTTTTGAATCCATCCCTCAGTTTTGTCTGCTAAGAGATCATACAAAAGAATTAATACTATCGGCCTCGAACGTTAGTAGTAATAATTGTACCAGATGGTCCTATATTATGTTTTTGAGATCTTACCTTCCGAATCTGTTCAAAACTCGGACATTCCGCAATGGCATTCAGCTGATTCTGTTCCTTTTCCATCACTGAAATTTTGACAATCTGTTGCATCTTTTCCTCGAGATCTAATCTTCTCCTGACTTCTTCCTCCAGGGAAATCCTCAGGTCTCTGACCTTCTCGCTGAGCCTACTTCGCTCTTCCGCAAGAGATTCCAAACTAATCGTCATCTTACGCTCTTTTTCGTTGAGTTCCTGTTGTAGCTTTTCTTTTGCATTTTCCAGCAGAAACACTTTGGTGACTAGATTGTTCCCTTCCCGCTGGTGCCGTTTCAGATCTTTGGCCGTGGCCTCGAACTCGGTGCGCAGATCCAAGAGGTTCCTCTCGGCCTCGGACCTTTCTTTGCTCAATTCATTTTGCAGTTCCCCGTTCACCTTCTCAAGACATGAAAGCTTAGTTTCAAGTATAACACGCCTTTCCTCAAGACAAGCTAGAGCGTCTTGCCGTTCTTCCAGTTTTCTATGCATTGTCCGTATTTTTTCCTTTGATTTTTCAAGGGAATTTTCAAGTTCAGCTTTATGATGTTGAAGGTCAGTGCATAAAGAACTTTCCTCGGCCAACTGCCTATGCAGCCAGGTATTTTCTTCTTTCAAGGCCCTCTTTTCTTTTTCGAAGCTTTCTTGAAGCCGTTGGCATTTTCTTTTCCATCCTTCCATTGCCCTTTTTGTTTCAGCCTTCTCCGTAATCGGTAACAAACCGTCCGCACCAAAACGCTCTTTGAAGGACTCTAACTCTTCATGAAGCTGATTATTTTCGTCAATCAATGCTTCCTCCATCTCCTTACTTCTTTCTAAAGCCCCCTCGTTGCTCTTAATTGTTATCTTCATCTCAGCGTAACGTTCATACAACCTCTCCACCTCGTCGTTTGCGTTAACCTTGTCTTGGATGGAAGCCTCTCTAAGTACGTTGTGCCTTTCTTGGCTAACTTTAAGCTGACCATTAAGGAAGGTTATTCTCTCCTCCGCCTTTCGTAGTTCCTCAAGCAAACCGGCGTCAACCAGATTTCTCAGATACTCGTTATCTTGTCGAATAACACAAAGCTCCTCCATTAATTTAGCGGTCCTTTGTTTCAGGCGATTAATCTCTTCGGAATTGGAATTTTCAATTTCTACTAGGATTTCTTTTAATATAGTACGAACCTCTTCCTTTCCCATGTGAGGTAAAATGAGATCGGAGTTCAAGTTAGTGATCAGTAGGGGTGATTCTGACTGTACCACATACTTTTCTTTAGATTCAAGGACATTTTGCAACGAAAGTCTTAGCTGCCTTATTTCTCCAAGCGCTGCGTCTTTGAGAGACACTTCATCTTCGAGTTTTTCCTTTAGTGCTGCTGCTTGTCTCTGCAATTCGGTATTTTCCTTCTCATATTGTCCAGAAAATAACTCGCACTTCCTCAACTGCTTGTCCTTCGCCTTTGAAATCTCTAGCAGGCTGTGAATGTCTTTGTTTATGAGGCTATGAGCGCGCTTTGTCCTTCCATAAATGACTTCCAAGATCTTCTTTATTTCCAATGTTTCTCGAACGTTCCTGTTAGCTTCTTCTCGCATGTTTTCGTTTAAATTTTCATAGTTCTGAAGTTGCGACTTTGCTCTTTGAAGCTCATCAGTTAGTGATTCTACGTCCTGTTCGAGCTCTTCTTTATCGCGTTGAACAGTCATCAAAATATTTCGCAATCGCTGTTCTCGCTCTATTATTTCTGTTTTCTCAAGGATGTCGCACCTGGGGCTCTTTTCAAAATTTGAAGAAGAGGAACTCAAGTGTTTACTAATAGCCTTGGGAATAAGCTTCCGCTTTCCGAAACCTTTAAGCTTTCCACTTTTCTTCTGGCTTTGTAAACAGGACTCACTCGTAGAAGCAAATGTATCACTTGTATCTGCTTCTCTTATGCCGGGCAGTTGCGATGAAGTGGACTGCTCGTCAAAGCTTTGGTTGTATTTGCATTCCGTTTGTTTCGGTTCCCACTTATCGTTTGATTTCACTAACAAAACTTCAAGCTCCTTTTTAGCCTTAACCTCATCCAGTAGATTGTCCTTCATTGCTTGAAGCGACGCTTCAAGACGTAGGTTGGACTTCTTTAACGCATTTGAGGTCATTTTACTTTGGTTAACTTCTTTCCTATGTCTCTTGTTCTCCTCGCAGAATTCATCTACTCTTAATACGTTTTCTTGCAAATCCCTGACGGCCTTTTCCAACGTGGAACGAAGAACAGTCCCGACCTCTTCCAGGCGCTCTAGTAATAACCTTTGCTGTTCATCTCGATGTTCTGCTGCTGGTCGGTCCTTGCCTTCTTCAGGAACAGTATCATGTTTAGCTTTCAGTTCAAAAAGTTCCCCTAACGCTTGTTGCAATGAGCACTGTAAATACTCTTCCGTTTCCTTGGAATTTTTGAGGTTCTTTTTGTCCACTTGTCTCTCTTGCTCATTTGCCTGAATTGCCATTTCCAGGCATTTTACTTTCTCAAACAAAGCGGCACTAGTTGCTTCATGAGAGAACGCTTCGTGCTTCTCTATTTGAACCTCTTCGTAAAGCTCTCTAGCGACGAGATATAGTTTCTCTTCCCTCTTTTTCCCTTGCTCTATCGACTCCTTAAGAGACTTCTCTCTTTCCAGAACAGCGTTACTTTCCAATTCTGATGTCTGTAAGGCCTCTTTAAGTAGATTACAGTATTCCTGTAGATCGTTTTTGCCACGACTCACCTTTTCTAATGTTTCACGCAAGTCTCGAATCTCTTCTTGTAAGCCCAATTCTTCACTTTCGTGTTTTCGTTTGTGTGCATCAAGATCGTTTTCTTTACTTCGCAACAGTTTTTCCAGGATCTCGTCCGGGCATTTAGTGCCCATTCCAGCGTCGTAGTCTTCAATGTTTATTTGCTTTTCTCTTTTTTCTTTCTCTTGAAGTTGCTCTTTAAGTATCTCAATTTCAATATCCTTGTCTTCAATAATTTTGTTCATCGAAAGCCTGAGTTCCTCCCATCTTGCACATTTTATTTCAAGTTCTTTTGAAATTTCCCCTGCTTCTTGTCTTAATTTTGCCACAAGAGCTTTCAATTCGCTCAGTTTATCTTCATATGAAACGCTTAGTCGCTTCAGATCTTGATTTTCTTCCAAAGTAGCCTTATACCTGAAAAGAAGGCTTTCAATCCCCTCAAGAGATCCTTCTGTTACCTCTGTTTTTGGATCCCCGTTTGTCCAAGGCCCATGGATTTCCTCGTCTTTCTCTTCATGAAGAGAGAAATTGACCCAAATCCGTTGGATCCTACCTTCAGTTACGCAAAGAGCTTCTTGGACTTCTTCCAAATGTCTCAACTGGCGAGCATTCTGTTCGTTTAAATCCACTACCTTTGATTTTTCTTTACAGTATGCCCGGTAAATATCCCTTAGAAGACTTTTTGAGTCTTTTCGTACGAACGTTGTTTTATCATGGAATTTAAAGTCAGCATCAGTGATTTTGTGCCAAAGGTCCTCAATGCTCAATGTTACGGTTTTCATCTCTCCTTGAAGGCAATTGTTCTGTTCTCTCAAAGTCATGGCCTTGAATTCTTCAGAAAGATCGTCTTGCTCACCATCTGCTCTGTCGCTATATTTTTCAGAACTGCTTGAATAGTAACTTGCATTTTCTGAAATTGGACTAGATAACATATCAGCGGAGCAACGCCTTGTTTTGTTTTGATCATGAGCTGGCGTTCCATCAGCTATTTGATCCATCAATCCAAGAGTCATCGTTCTCAAAGATTCATTGGTACACTCGAGTGGCAATTTATGCTCTGCATTTGCAGCATGTTCTTGAACTGACAGTTTATGTTCCAGCTGAAAAACCTGTTCTTGTAACATTTCATTTTGATTTGTCAAAAGCTGAACCTGAATCTCAAGCTGCTGTGAATGCGCTTTTTCCTGCTTCAAGCTGTCAAGCAAGCGTTTCTCGTTCTCTACGGAAGACTCTCGTTGATTGTGGAGCTCCGTTTCTTTGGCCCATAGTTTTTGGAGCGCATTTTGAATGTCTGATTCGAGTTCCTCTTTCTCAGCTGTGATCTCCTCTACTTCTTTTATCTTCTCCTCTACCATCCTCTGTAGCCTGGTGATATTATATTCACATGTATTTATTTTGGACTGCAGATTAGCTTCCTTGGCTCTTTCTGCCAGGTAATTGTCCGGCGTTTCTCTGAAATCTCCGTTAAGAGTTTCCTGTCAAGGAAAACCACATAATTATGCTTTTTCATAGCATTAATATTACTGATGTAAAGTATATATGAAATAATTCATTTTTCATTTTTGAACTGCGGTTGTAGATGAAAGTGAAGAATGATCATCGCAGTAAATTTTCCAAATTTTCCATCATCGCAGTAAATTTTCTATAAACTTATTATATTCAACTCAGGCCTTGCAGACACCCGTTATAACGGACACCTCAATAATAAGGACAGCAGCTAAATCCTAGGCAAAAATAAATTATAGATGTTTGAGTGAAATAAACTCTCGCTATTACGGACTCTCGCTAATGAGGACACTAACTCAAGGTCCCAACAGCGTCCGCTATAAAGGAGTTGACTGTAATTACAAAATTAATTTCGAGTACGTAAAACTCAATGAACTATTTGCGCATCTATTATCACCCTTAAATGGATCAAGAAGTTCATACTTTTATTAAATGCTGACGCATTTATTAACGCAGTTTTGCTGGTTTAGTCCTAAAGATAGTTTTACTGCGCTTTTAAAAAAACACGCGAACTCTGAAGTTCAAAAGCCGCCCTCACAATTGCGGTTTTCGCTGCCGTCAAAATAAGAAAATTACGATCAGAGACAAAGAACCTTGAAACACAGAAACACACAAAACGGATCGAGATCTACCAGTCATAATTCACAAACCATGACCTTTTGAATCCGTTGTAGTAGAACGCCGCCACATCGTCTCTCCTTTTATTGCCGCCATTTAGTCAACACCATTTATAGCGGACACTGTAGGGACCTTGAGTTAGTGTCCTCATTAGCGAGAGTTTATTTCACTTAAACATCTTTTTGCCTGGGATTTATATTTTAGCTGCTGTCCTTATTATTGGGAAAAAGGAAAAAAGACTGTGAACCCTGTTAAAATGACAGAAAGTCATCGTTATCATCATTAGTTAGATTGTTCGAGACTTCTCTTTTTCATAATTTATGAAATGTGTTTTACGTCAATTAGCATCGATCAGTAGAAAGATCTTCCTGCGCGATTTACGTCACGAAATGCAAAAATCTGACTGTCTTCAAAAATGATAAAATTGCATAATTTGGTCAGGAACAGGAAAGCTGTATCGAGCAAAAAGTTTTTGTCTTTGTTGTAATCCCAGCGGGGGCGGGGGGATACTTCCCAATTTGGCTTAAATGGGTATGAACCGCTGAATAGGGTATGGTTTTTGGGATTCCGGGTCTTAAACAGGGTATACAATTTCACTAGTCAGAGTCTTCAACATGGTGTAAACTTTGGCGGTGCATTTGGTACCAACAATTTGTTTACGGAAATCTTATTGGATGATATCAGTTTTACAAAACGAACGAAACGAATCATGGTCATGGGAAAAGGTCTCTTGTCTTTACATTAACAGGGTAGCGAGACGGACGGTTTTTTTTTCGTAAACAGGATCAGAACAAAATTTCTTTTGTTCTTGATTTGCAAGTCAAGTCTTTTGCTACATCAAATGTTAACAGACAGTGCAGCATTAATGTATCAGAAGTTGCTCGAGATAACTTCGGATGAACTGAGACAGTTGTAACGGTCGTTGTCCGACTGACTAATAATCTTATTTTCTTCCAGAGATGTTGCTACTACCGAAACAGGAAGACCGCGAATTCAAGGACACGCGTGACAGTTGATTTTGTCGCTAGGTGTTAACGACTTAGGTCACGTGGCTTTGTTTGTCAAACCGAACTAGGTAAACTCACGTGGTCGATCACGTTGTTTCTTATTGCTGGCTTCGTTGTTCGCCCCAGAGTTTATATATAGCGCTAGAAGGCTGAAACCGAAAGAACTTTCATCGATCGACTTTCCACGAACGAAAATTTCTCCCTTTTGGTTGACATAGAACACCATTACTCGACTTGGCCTATCTAATCTTTGGCCAACCAAACGCTCAGGAATGTGATCGCGTGAGTTCACCTCTTTGGTTTGACAAACAAAGCCATGTGACTCGAATCGTTAACGTCTGGCGCCAAAGTCGTCTTTCTGAATTCGCGATCTACGTGTTTCGGTAGTAAGTGGCAGGAGCCGATTACTGTAAGTGGACATAAGGACGCAGTATTGAAAAACTAAAATTTTACGCTCTTGTTTGTAGGTGAAAAAAGGATAAATGGGGAACAGTATATTGACCCACCTCGAACAGTAGAAAAAGAGTGCCACCTTCAGAAGAGCCCTAAATCCGGCCCTCATTACATGCACTGTCGCTCTTGGGGTTTTAGATTATTTACACTTCACTTTTTCTTAGAAGATTTCGATCTTTCCAATACATTAGCCATATTTGAAGCCTTTGAAGTTAACAGTACGCACCTGGAGGTGGTCCGAGTCATTGTTGGCAATCTCCGTTGGTGGAGTATGCTCCTGTTCTTCTTGATCATCCAACTCATTTTTCTCTCCGTGTTCATTCTTTTCATTAGGAGAGTTATAAGGTTTAATGAAACAATCATAAGTGTTCAAATCATCTGCTATGGCTTTCACAAGCTCCAGCACTTCTTCTTCATCATCCTCGTCAAATAACACTTGCGCACTTTCTTCCTCCACCGATGAAGTATCGTCCATTGTCACATTAAACTAAATTGTAAAGATAACAATTTGAGTGATTACTCTGAAGGAAGAATTATTGAAAACTACAAAATTGTATTTTTTGTCAAATTTACCTCCTTCCTGAATTTTCTAGGGCGACTCTATATTTCAATAATGTATATTCAAGAATATTATTCTAAAATACAGAAGACAGACCAGTTTGTAGCCTGCGAAAACATCCGTTTCTCCTCGCTCTTCGTCGATGGGGACGTTTCGCGCGAAACGTCCCCGGTGGTGAAGAGCGAGGAGAAGCGGATGTTTTCGCAGGCTAACCAGGTTGATAATATAACTGTTTTAACCGCCACTTCAAACGGAGAAATGGAAAAGGTGAATGAATTAAATTTTCTTTCCCAGATACCTATTAAAAGCGGCCACAAAACTAGCTTGCAAAACCGCGGTTTTGAGGCGGGTGAAGGCAATAACTTCAATCTTACAGCCGGGAATATATATTTCTTTTGGCAGTAACGCCTACTCTGCAGGCTACCGGAAACACGACTAAACATAGTGGTAAGAAGAACAAACTTTTTTCGTTTAATTTTAAGCTAAGGCTCGTTTCATAAACTTTATGAAAACCTTGTTTTTTCAGGAGTGAGAGTAGTGTGATATTTGCAATTGACCTTGTTTTCTAGTGAAACACCTGATTGAAACAGTAATCTCTTTTTTTCAAGAGTAAAAAATATGTCTTTGGCTGTTAACGTAGAACTCGAACTCGTAGCCTCACTGTTGAGTAAAATACGGCCAAGTGAAAACAAGTGAAAGCATTATTTCAGAATAAAATGTAAACTCTTACCTAAGCTTGTTTGCACGTGAGGCGTTCGAAATCAAGTTATGATTTTTCGTCTTTCACTTGTGACGTATTTTCCCCGTTTGGCGTCCCAGTCTCCCATCAGGAACTTTTGAACGAGCGGCAGTCTTTCGGCGCCAAACTCAAAATGGCGACCTCGTGTAAACAACTCTTCGCCAATAATATATGTAAAAATGACTTAAATTTGTCGAAAGTGAAAGTATGGAAAAAGAAAAAGAAAATTATTAATACGCATGACTGGATTAAAACTGAAGCAAGTCCAAGGATGCAGGAAAAAACTATTTTGTGGAGGAATATTGTTGGCGAATAAGTGAGACGTGGCACAAGCCGAAAATTATCATCTGAAAATATGCAAATTTCAATTTACCTTTGAATTTACGTTCTTGTGTTCACTCAACTATAGCCAAGCAACAGGACAGTTCCGGGAAAAGCTGGCGCTCGTACAGTACGCGATGCTGCCTCTAAAGGAAGAAAATGGCGTATGAGCAAGGGACTGCCTCGTTGTTTTCTCTGGGCGTTTTACTGATCCAAATCTATGCTTCTGACAGCCAAAGTGTTGTACGTTCAAAAGGTGTAAAACTTGGACATCAAAACGGTACATCTAGAGGTAAGATTAAGTCTCGTATCGACGGTTTGCAAACCTTTTAGATTTGCTTGAACAGTAAGCTCAAATATAAGAAAATCACGGGAATGATTATCGTTTCTTGTAAACACTTGAAGTTGAATCATAATCAGTTCGCTCGATATGAACTCCTCAAAGTTTGTTCGATCAGATTGAATCAAGCAGTGTTTACAACGTAAACGATTAAGCTGATTTCGTTCCCCATGGCTTGGCTTAAATTTTTTTCAAGTTGTTTCATGTTGTTCTATAAGCAAAATGGTTTATTTTTATCTAAATTTAATAGCTATAGTCTATGATTTTAAAAATTAATTTCACCATTCACACTTAATAATAGTGAAGGTGTTTTGATCTTAACCACTGTTTATTGTTCCCATTGTTTATAGCAGGAATTCCAAAAATAAAAGGAACATTTTCATAATTAACAGTGTGCTAATGGTTGTCTTTACACTAGGCTGTTTAACCAAAAATGCATGTGTGAAGGCCTAAGTAAAATCTCAAGTATTCTTACTTTGCATCTGATTAAAGTCGGAAAGTTGAAATGATTCAAGAAAGCTTCGAGTGAGTTGAAAACCATCCTTAAAACTGACTTAGCGAACTTGTGGTTTCTAAACTTTGAGAAAGGTGAAGCATGTCAATCAATCGTAAGTATGTTGCGTGGGAAAACATGCTTAAGTAAACCTGAAGTAAAAATGATAGGTTGTGTGTGAAGCCTTTTTTCACTTGAAGAATTTAAAATTTACCTGTCTTGAATTATTTCTTAGCTTATTTAGGCTCTAGTGTAAGGACTACCAATATTTCGTTTTTTGACTTGTCATTAAGAGAGCAATTAAAATTAAGCTATCCCTGCTTTAGTTACAAAAATGTTCAAACAAAACAATCGTTGAGTTTTTTTGGACAAAAGGGAATGTCCAAAAGTTTGTGCGTCTGAGCAAGTTAAAGCCACACAGTCTGATTGTTTCACTGTCGGACAATTTTCAGCATGTGGATGTTCGGGTACTACAAGGGGGGAATTAATGTTAAATTTACAAACAAGCAAACTTTTAGGTTTTTTTCAGAAAAATAAAAATAAAAAACTGTCAAAATCAGTGACTGTGTACGGGGAGTAGTTTTTTTTATATTGTGAAGTTACTTTATAGGACTTGATCACCAGTACTAGTTCAGTTCTTTTAAAAATAATATTAGGTGTTTCTAGTTTGATTTAGTCTGATTCTCTTGTCATATAAAATTATGCACCATCAATTCCAACTGTGCCCATCGCCCGCAGGCTCTACTGTGGGGCATTTTCCAGCCTTGTGGGTCCCGGACATGGGGCATCCGCCAATTTTGCGTGGCTCAGGGGTTGGATATTTGCCAACAAACCCCCCCCCCCCCCCCCCCCCCCCTTTTCACACCCCCATTTCTCTTTAAAAAAAAAAAAAAACAAGGGGGGTTTATTAAAAAAAAAAAAAGGTGTGGGGGGAGGGGGCCAGTCGCGAGAGAGGCGCGGGGGGGGAGGAGGGGAGGGGTGTGTTGCGTCTGGGTCCCGCGCGTGCCCTCCTCCGTCCCCCGCGGGGTCCTTGGGGGGGGCTTTTCCCCCCTGTGGGGCCCCGGGAAGGGGGGCCCCCCCAATTTGTGGGGGGCCGGGGGGTGGTATTTTCCCAAAAAACCCCCCCCCCCCCCCAACTGAGCTTTTGACACACACGTTTTCTTATCAAAAAATAACTTAACATGGAGGGTTTTAATAAAAACACAATTAGGTTGGCAGATTGGCTCATCTGTTAAAGATAGGAAAAAACTTGTTTTTAATTAATAAAGGTATGTTCTCTCAGTTTTATGCTTGCATTTCTTCATTGCTTATCAAGCGAGAACTTACAAAGCGAATCTTGGACCTATCGAAGTGAATCAACGCATGTTTTTCATTATATTGAATAAAATTTCTGTTGATCTAGGATTTGAATAAAATTTGGTGGTTATGATTACATGCAACTATGATATTTGGAGAGTTTCCTTTCATATTATTCAACTATTTAGAACAGATAACTTTATTGGCACACTGGTAATTTTAATGTCAATTGATTTACACTAATGGACTATTTAAAACCAGACGAATAACAACAAGATAAGAATCATGAAGTGGAGTCGTCGCGCGTCAACTCTTAATTAGAGTAGTGCGATTATAAGGGCACACCTTAACTGAAACGAATAATCACACATAAAAATGCTTAAGTGGCATTACTTGACTGTCATTGACCGTTATCCCCACCGTGGGGCATTTGGCAGCTCAAGTATCCCCACACCATCATTGTATTTATGACTCCTAATTGATGTTGTTTCAGGAGTGCACTTGATCACGTCGAGTGATGTTACAGTAAGAGTGGGTGAACAACTCCACCTAAACTGTACTGTAGTTGGAGCTGATAATTCTTCTAAATATCAATTATCATGGTATCATGGTAAACAGAAACTAGGAGAAAATGTGATAGCAAAGCTGAGAAACAACACAGTTCAAGTTAATATTGATCCTGTTGACTGGAACAACAATGGAACTTATCTTTGTAAAGAAACTGCTAACAGTGGTCTTCAGCCCAGAAGTGTTGTAGTCAGGGTTGGCGGTAGGTCTTCTTCAAATTGTGCATTGACATATTTTCCATTTATCTGAAGATGTGTTTTGAGCTCTCTGCCTCTGCCCTTGTGGTATGCATGCATGCAAAAGAATTGCTGCTCCCTAATTTTTTTAGAACTCAGAGGTTTAGCTCACCTTTAAACAACCCTATTTTTCAGCATTCTTGTTTTATTTTTTAGCTTATTTTAATGAAACTCAGAAAAACATGACCAACAGAAAAATAATTTATGGAATATAGTTTTGTTGCAAGGAAAAAGCCAATCACACACGAGTAAACAAAACCATGAACAGCAAGGCAAATTAATTTGTGGTTTTTAGGTTTGCTCATGCATCCTGAACTTTATTGTGATAAATTCACTGCATGATTAAGTCCTGATAGAAATTGATACAGCATAACACAGTTTTCTAAGTTTGACAGAAACAGTGATTTTGTTACCCCTGCATCCGGCATTCACGTAACCCCAAAGCATGGTGCAAAGAAAATCAGCCCTTTGGGTAAGCTGTAGCCAGAATGACCTAGTCCAAGTGTCATGTTGACTAGCCAAGAAACATTTTTGACACACAGGGTGAATAATAATCAGTATTCATTAATTAATTACATCATTTATATAGAGAGAAAAATTCAGAAAAGAATTCTGAGTACTAGATGGGAATTGAATCCTTCCAGACACTTTAGTCAGATGCTCTACAATTACATCATTAGTTAATTTATTTAATCACTAATGCTTTATTAATTCCTGGTAGTAAGCTATGATTTTAAATAGAATTTGGAGCCTTAGGATCCTTTCTTCTCAGGTATTTTTAATAATAAATAATTGTTCTTACCTGAAGATTGTGCACATCACACAACATCTATTCTGACATGAAATGTACCGTTACAATAAGCCATTTCGAGTTCCCTTGCGCCTCTGTATCAAAACAAGGTTAAGAGCTCAGCCTTTGATATGGAAATCATTTTTTGTTCTCGTGCAAATAAAACTCATTTTCAAAAGAAAGGTTGTGCACTTGGCCTCGTTTTGAAAGTGAGGGTTTTTGGAACTTGCAAGCTATCTAGTGGCCTATTGTTTTGATACTCGTTTTTACAGATTTCATTTTCTCAGATTAGCTTGAAAAAAGTTTTTACATTTATTAGGAATTTTATTTAATACTTGAGCAATTTAAATTCCCCAATAAAACTTCGCCTGTTGGGCAAGTAAAGATAAATACAAAATTCACTAGCCCAATGGCAAAATACCAGGGATGTCACTTCAAGTTGAGAGGTAAATACAACAAGTAGGTTGGGAATAAAACAACTAGGGGTTTCTTTTGGTTCTATTTTTCTTTTATTTTCCCATGAAAGTAGCGGGGGATCCACATTCATAGCAGCCGGGGGAAATCCCTGGCCTGACAGCCCTGAAAATCCACTACACCAGGCTATTGGGCAGAATGTCATTGACCAGCCCGAAGATGGTATCCTGTTTGCCCGACTCTAAATCAGCGAATATAAAATATAATATTGTAACAAAATCACTGAAAATGAACATTATTAATAACGTTTACTAATTAATAATACCACATTTATTTCCTTTAGAGAAAAATAATTTTAACGTACGATCGCTGGTCTGGTATTTGCAAATTGTGAGGTATTTTTGAAAAGCAATTTTACTGAAACTTGACATGATACATGTATGTCTGAAACTTGCTGTTGGCCGGTTTCTTTTAGATATTCCCAGTTCACCTCAAAATGTGTGGATAAATAATGTTGAATTCGAACCAAGAATTCACTGGACAGCTCCAAAACACCCAGGAGGATTGCCACTTAGTTATGTTGTCAAAGAACCATTGCTGTGCAAGAATGATACCAGATCAGATAACCCTCACTGCAGTCTTTGTCAAAAACATCTTATTTTGGGTACAGATGTAAATATGTTTATGTGCACACTGAATGGATTTTCTCCTCTGGAGGGTATTGTCTATGAAGCCATTGTTGAAGTTAAAAATGCCCTGGGTTTCAACACAAGCAGTCCTGTTGAATTCAAAGCCAACAAGTATGAAATATTTTTAAGTGAGTACACTTACAACCGGTTACTTAATATTATCAGTAATATTATTTATATATACGTGCCACGCTATTTCGTAGCTTTACTGGGAAGAGACTTGCCCACTGGGGATAGCCATGAACTGGACTCCCTGAACTGTAACTCCCTTGCAGGCTGGTCCCCCACTCCCACTAATGTTATTATGCATTCAAAATATTTCTTCGTTTCTGATTGGCGCAAATCATGCCCAGCTTGTGTTGACATTAAGTGATATCCAGGGTAATATCATGACACCAATGGTCGTGCAGGCTATCGCCAGTAAATAGCACAAAAACCTGGTGAAGAGGTTGTGTTGAGCGGCTCAGTTGTTTTGGTAGAGCTGGAGAAAAAACAAAGAATTTCCCACAGTCTGTCAAGACGAAATAGCTGAACTACTACCCAAGAATGTAGCAAGAACAACAACAATTAATACAACTTGACAGATGACAACCAGGGCCAGCTGTTACAATGATTTTGAGTTGCTGGGTAAATAAAACAAGCGGTGGGGAATCAGACAGCTCAGCTAGGGATTTCTTTTGGTTTTATTCTTCTTCAATTTTCCTTTGAAAGTAGCCAGACACCATGTTTATAGTCGCCGAGGGAAATCCCTGGCCCTTGCCTCTTATAACAGCCCTGGACAACTGCTACATGTATTTGAAGAAAATCTGCTGTACTAAACATCTCCTTTTATCCTGAATTTGCTGAGATTCAGGCAAATGAAGATATGAACTAAGAAATCATGTAAGCCTTTTGTTAAAGAAGGTACACCATCATTTTGAATGACTAATAAAAGATTATTCTATGCAGATTTTGTATGATACCGTAAAATTCCGAAAATATTTTTCAAAGGTCCATTTTGGGGGGCTTATATTTAGTGGGGCTTACCTACGGAAGGAAGTTTGCGTTTCGGAATCGATTAGCCTTATAATGGAAGTAAATTTAGCGTTTTTGCTTTGTTTTACTTTGTATTTGAGGGCAATTTTCCAAGTGCAAGCCCCCTGGGGGCTTATATTTGGAGGGGCGATTTAACGGAGATTTTCTTGCATTACCGGTTTGGGTGGTTTATATTTGGAGGGGCTTATTTTCAGAATTTTACGGTATATGATTTCTGAAGAACTATGTACAATCTTGAAGGGAGTTATCCTCCTCGATCTGCATAATTCTTCAGATCATACTCAGTCTCATTCAATAATTGCTAAATATCTATTCTCATTTCATCTCAGCTACTCCACAACCTGCTAAAGCCTTTACTGCTAAGGAAGTACAGCCAGCTACAACAGTGAAACTGTCATGGAAGGATCCCAGAGAGTTAAATTTCTTTGTGG